AGAGAAGAGCGGTAGCGCGTTACCATAATGATAGGCGAAGATTGCTCAAGTAAGCGACGTCTAAATTGTAGCCTGCTTATTGTTAATCGAGATAAAAAATCTCAAAATGTAATGAAAATCAAGCTGTCCCATTTTTTACCGATCACTCTGATAAATTAAGTCATATTCGGAAGCTGAGCGCAGCGTCATAGATTACAAAAATTTCAGTCTTTCTCATAATGGTAGATAGCAACATCTGCCTTTTCGTACCATGGTGTACAGAATTGCAGAAAGAAGCAAGTATGTGAATTTTTACTTGTTGAATATACTAGTGTTTGCGTTCAACAACTGAGATCCTAACATGTATATAGAAGGATGCCTATGGCTTCGAAGAATGAAACAGAGAAGAGTCGTTAACGGCATCTCAATAAGACATGACCTGGCCAACTTTTGGTACCAGTGAGTAGTTCAAGATACAGAAAAGAAGCAAAATGATAGAAAAAACTCTCCAGATCAGAGCAAGTGCATAAATTTGCTCACATATACATCATTCTATCTATTATTGTTGAAGCATACTTGTGTGGTTGAGAGTATGAAGTAGATAGAAACAAAAGTAGAGGCAAGTGGAAGTGATGATTGCAAATTAGAACAAACCATTTGTAATCTCAACATGAAGTTTGTGGAAGTGATGATAAGAAGAACAAGAAAGTTACTAGACCCTTAAGTCGTGGCAGGTAGACATGATGTAAAGACCTCGCTGCTGAAATCTAGCATTTGACGATTTCAAAGCTAAGAGAATACGTGTACTAGCAGCACGTACTCGAGTACGACCTTTAGAACCGAATTTGCGACTTCATGTCGTCTATGCAGAATAAAGAGGGTGGGCCCGGCAGCTCCCCATGAGTTCAGATAATCGAAATTGAGGGCCCTGGTTGAATCAGAGGGTACTACACCCTAACCAATGTTTTACCTTCAGATTGTTGGTCCATGCAGTCCGAGCCGACGTCATGCGCAGCATTGAGCACCGAGAAGTCTGTGAGTTTTACAGAGAAGCAGACCGAAGACGACTCATTTGAGGGTAATCAGCACAGGCACAAAACTCGCAGAAGCACTGCCACAAGGCTCGCTGCTCAGTTGCGAAGCCTCTTCCCCATCATCAAGATGCAACGCCTACACGCGATCAATGCCTTAAGCACTATGGGAGATGTATAATACAAGGGGACTGTAGTGAAAGCCACAGAGCGGCACTTTTCATGACTTCGACAACTCCGAATAATTTAACCAAAGCTTTGATATTGCTTGGCGATCGTGCGCGTCGATGATCGGTCAAGAATTTGGACAGCTTTGTTTGCCGTCACAATTTGCGGAGATATGAGCACTTGAGAGCTATGGTCTCCAAGAAAGGTGTGATCATGTTGATTGGCTGTCGTCTGTAGAATGGGTGGACTGTTTTTCTCGACGCTTATTGTTGAACACAAAAAAACGTTACCTATTAATCTCCTACTTGCAGGAATTCGCACACAAGGAGGAGTCGCATTAGTAACTTTTTAGGGTTTGCCTCAGCATTGCTAGAGGCAAAGAAGTGCTTCATTTCAACCTTCAAAATTATTTGGATACTGCTTACACAGGAACTCTGTATGCGGTACAAGTATGGGCACAGAAAAGCTGATGTTAGAGAAACCAATTTCATAATTTGGGACAATTCACCGGCGTATAAGCATTTTTAGAAACTCTTGTCTCTACGCCACAGGGCATAAGAGTAAGTGACAGGTTAATGGTTGGGGTCGCGTGCGCTACTGGTAGGCAAGCTTCGTCAAATTGTGCCAGTGATTCCGCGGTCGACTTCAGCAGATCTGAAAGCTTGCCACAAAGCTTCTCATTATTTAATGCACCCTGACAGCTGAATCTGATGACGAACATGCACTTCAACTGCATGGCAATGATTTACCGGAGCGCTTTGCGCAACAGCTTTTGGTTCTTGGCGACGGTAAAAGTCGAATAAACTCCGGTATGGTTACCTTCCCGCCAGATTTTTGCAAAATAGTTCAGGGTTTCAATTATAAAGTTCTAGTTAAGCATTTCTATCAATCTCATAAGGGAAATGCATTTGCGAGCGAGTAATTCTGGCACCCGAAAACGAGTAATTCTACAAAT